CGTGACCTGAAGAATGATACCCTCATAAACATTTAGAAGTCTAGAGAGGTCTTAAAGTTTTGAAAAATGATATGAAGGCGTTTTTACACGCACATCTACAGTCAGCTCACTTAAAATTTATTTAGTCGACGGGCTTCTGACCCTGCCCGCCAGGGCCAACCCGGTCTGAGAGTCTGAGAGGGATAAAACATCACAATAGAAAGACAGTAAGATATTAAATAATATTCTCCCCATTTAGGAATCGAACTCTGGTCTCCTTCGTGCGACAGAGAAGCGTTTAACCACTACACGAAAGACGCCGGTTTGTATAGAGAGGTCTCCGGAGGTCTTGTTAGCATCAATTTAGACTCTTCGTCCCGCCAAATTTGCTCCTTGTCACCATCGTGTTGGTCTTGCTCGTGTGGCACCAAACAACCAGAGTCTTAGGGGCGGCCCCCTTTCACCTTGACCTGTTTCTGGCCGAGGTGACCCTGCGCTTCTCAGGTCACACGACTACACACCTGACTTTTAGTTAAAGTAAGAGTTTTGCGGAACTTGCGACACAAATAAGGTAATTTAAATGTCTAAGACTAGGGGTGTTTTTTAGAGGGTAACACAAAGAAAAGGAGGAGAGATAAGGACGATGGTCGTTTGATAGTAAAGAAAGAGCAAACGACACCAGAGCTCCCGCCAACCACCCACTAGTAAAATGTGTCCATAATGCTGTAATCATGTTTACTCCAAGGCTCTCACACATTAAACATCTATTGTCCTTATACACCCACCCCCACCCCCTTTTTTTCTTCCTTTGATACTCTTTTTAACAAGAATCTAATCTTCAGAACTTATATTGAGACCTATTTGTGTTGCAAGAGATGTAAAACTAAAACTGACACGTTCCTAGCCGCTACTGTTCCTCTCCCAAAAGCTCCCACACACCGAACAGCGAAACTTTTTTTTCTCTGTAGCATATAACAGAAAAACAAAACAAAAGCAAAACGGAACAAAAAGGACCAGTCCTCAATTCCCTCCGGTTGAAAATCACCGTCAAAATAGGCCATATATAACAACCTTCACTTTTGGTTAGTTTGGTAAGACTTTTACACCACTCTCAACTACAAACGGTCATATGAGCGCGCAACCTCCACTTTGTGCCATTCCTGCCCTTAACAGCACGTCACTATAAACAAACAAAAATGCACCGCAAAAAAAAAAGAGTGAGGAGGGGAAAG